TTTCACTTTTAAGTAGACCTAGAAAATATCTCTTTGTAGACCTGTAATTACCAAGAGAAATGTAATGTGAGCCACCAATGCAAGCTCCACACGTAAGATTAAGTTTTTAGTTGTTATCATTGCTATTTTCTATGTACAATTAAATGCAGTGCCGCGTGGTCCTGACCTAGCTTTATGATTGGTTGCAGATTAGATCCATGGGCTAATTTTGAAAAGTCGATCCCCAGGACCTTCTTCCTAGTCTTAGTATTCAGCATTATAGCAACACACAAGCCTCCGCTGATAGATAAGTGGTGGCTTTCTATGAAGTGTAGTAACCAGGAATCAAACTCAAGTTTGCCTCATGAAAGGTTAGCATACTACCACTGAACCACCAGCTAACCCTGAAACATTCTCGTTTCCATGCCTTTTTAAAAGAAGTAAATGGAATTAACTACAATCGTGCTTTTATTTATTTAATACAGTGTAGCCAAAATGTCACTTTAACATGTAGTTTTATAGCATTATAAATTCTGTAAAGAACATGAGTTTTCATCCCATATCTTTGCGAGTCTGCATGTATTTCAGCCTCAGAGCACATTTTAAATCAGGCATGATAACATTCCACTTTTGTTTTTTCTCTCCTTTGTGTGTGATCTTTGTGAAGTTTTTGTTTTGTGTTGCTTAGGAAGAGGTTGCATGTGTTCACTGAAGAGATTGAGGCTCATAGATGCCCAATGATTTGCCAGAGGTCACACAGTAGGAATCACTCACACTCTGAGGTCTGCCTCCAGGGTGCATTCTCAAAATGCACGATCATGGACTATTGACAAGACCATTAATGAAGATGAACCCATAAATGATTATTTTTTAAAAAATCCTTAAAAGCATTCTCCTTTGCTCTAACCCTTAGCGAGTCTTCCCAGGAACTAGAAAAGAGAAGGAGAAAACATTTCTGAAATCAGAGCCCATGGTGGTGGTGTGGGAGGAAAACTACATTGGGACTCAGAAAATCAGGGTTCATTTTCTGGTTCTACTCCTTGTTAGTTGAGCTAGAGTGGGCGTTAGGCATTTAGCCTGGCTGGGCCTCAGCGTCCTCATCTGTGAAATGGGCAAGTGCAGAGCCTGTCCTACCTATGTCACATGGTTGATGCACATTCAACATAAACCTGTGGCTGTATAAATGCCGTGTGAAGTGGAATTGGCCATGGAAACGTCAGGGGCTGATGCTTTTCAAAAGAAGAACAAATCTTTACAGTCCTGATAGGCACCATAGACTCATTTCTTTATTTTGTGATCATATTGATAATAAGTGAATTTTCCCAATTTTAAAAAAAGAGACCATTGCTGAGAGCCTCAAATTACACCAATTTCCATTTTAATCAATGACAGCTAGTTTGCTTTGATGTTGACCCTCTATTTAGATGTGAGCATCTGGATTTAGGCCTAGCACCACTAGGCATCTTGATTTCTTCCCTTTGCTTTGGTTTCTCAGCACTCGAGTGCAATATTCAGAGTGTCTTCTGACATCCATCTTGGTCTTTTCTTCCTCCTCTGTCTTTGCAATGACCTTTTGCATTCTTTGTGGGTGATACTCTTGATATCCTCCCATAGCTAATCGGGTCTTCGCTCATTAGTGTTCAAGGTCTCAAACCTATTCCGGAGATGGTTTTGAAATTCTGGCAGGACAAACTCAAGGTCAAATTTTGGTTCCCATGGACTTGATTTAATTTTCCTCAGCTTAAACTTGAACTTGCATGTGAGTAATTGGTGGTCTGTTTCACAGTCAGCTCCTGGCCTAGTTTTCACAGCTGATATTCAGCTTCTCCAGTGATTCTTTCCACAGATGTAGTCGATCTGATCCTTATGCATACCGTCAGGTGAAATCCATGTGGGTAGCCTGCATTTATGTTTCTTATAAAATTATTTACAATGACTAAGTCATTGATTGTGCAAAATTCAATCATTCTATCTCCAGCTTCATTTCTGTCACCAGGTCCATGTTTTCCAACTACTGATCCTTTTTCTCTGTTCCCAACTTTTGCATTCCAGTCACCCATTATTATCAATACATCTTAATTGTATGTTCGATCGATCTCTGCCTGCAAAAGTTGGTAGCAATCTTTTATTTCTCCTCTTTGGCTCTGGTTGTTGGTGCATATATCTGAATGATGGTGGTATTCACTGGACTTCCTTGTATGCATATGGATATCATCCTGTCACTCACAATATTGTATTTCAAGGTGAATCTTGAAAAGATTTTTTTAACTATGAAAGGAACCCCAAGATATTAAGGAGTTGAACAGAGATTCTAAAGGGCAGTGCAGGAAGACAAAGTAAAGTATTACAATGAAATGTGCAAGGAGCTAGAGTCATAAAAATCAAAGGGGCCCTTTTCTCTTTCACCCATCCGCCCAAGATGCCGAAGGGAAAGACAGCCAAGGGGAAGAAGGTGGCCCCGGTGCCCGCCGTGGTCAAGAAGCAGGAGGCCAAGAAGGTGGTGAATCCCCTGTTCGAGAAGAGGCCCAAAAACTTCGGCATCGGGCAGGACATCCAACCCAAAAGGGACCTTACCCACTTTGTCAAATGGCCCCGCTACAATCCGGATGCAGCGGCAGAGGGTGATCCTGTACAAACGACTCAAGGCGCTACCCGCCATTAACCAGTTCACCCAGGCCTTGGACTGCCAGACAGCTACTCAGCTGCTGAAGCTGGCCCACAAGTACCAACCAAAGACCAAGAAAGAAAAGAAAGAGAGGCTGCTGACAAAGGAGACACCCCCACCAAGAGACCCCCCCGTCCTCCGTGCAGGGGTGAACACAGTCACCACCCTGGTGGAGAACAAGAAGGCCCAGCTGGTGGTGATCGCACACGACGTGGACCCCATAGAGCTGGTGGTCTTCCTGCCGGCTTTGTGTCGGAAGATGGGTGTTCCCTACTGCATCATCAAGGGCAAGGCCAGGCTGGGCCGCCTCGTCTACCGGAACACCTGCACCACTGTTGCCTTCACGCGGGTGAACCCGGAAGATAAAGGTGCTCTGGCGAAGCTGGTAGAAGCCATCAGAACCAATTACAACGACAGATACGAGATCCACCGCCACTGGGGAGGCAACGTCCTGGGGCCCAAGTCAGTGGCCCGCATCGCCAAGCTGGAGAAGGCCAAGGCCAAAGAACTCGCCACCAAACTGGGCTGATGTACACACTGACTCTTCTGTACATAAGAATAAACTTATTAAGAATTAACTTAAAAAAAAATTCAAAGGGGCCGAACTCACTCTGCATTTCTTAAGCTGAAGGAACTGAAGAACAAATTCAAGTGTCGAGTTACAATATTTAAGGATACTTTGGGCAAAATATTAAATGATCCAGGAAGCATTAAAAGAAGATGGAAAGGATATACACAGTTATTGTACTAAAAGGAATTGGCAGATGTAGAAGAATTTCGTGAAACTTTCGTGAAACAAAGTATGAGCAAGAGCGTATGGTGATGAAGAAGTAAGTTCAAGCTGCTCTGAAAGAATTGGCAAAAAACAAGGCCCCAGGAATTGATGACATATTTACTGATATATTTCAACAGACAGACGTTGCCCTGGATGTGCTCACCAAGTTGTGCCAAAAAATCTGGAGAACAACCACCTGGCCAACTGACTGGAAGAAATCTATATTTGTTCCCATTCCAAAGAAAGGTGACCTGAAGGAGTGTGGAAATTATAGAACAATTCATTGATATCACATGCAAGCATGATTCTGCTGAAGATTATATTAAAAAAAAAAAACAAAACAACCAACATTACTGGAACAGCACATCTACAGAGAACTGCCTGAAGTGCAGGCTGGGTTTAGAAGAGGCTGTGGTACTACGGATATTATAGCTAATGTCAGATGGATCTTGGCTGAAAGCAGAGAATACCAGAGGAATGTCTATCTCTGTTTCATTGACTATGCAAAGGCATTTGACTGTGTGAATCACAACAAATTGTGACTAACCTTGAGAAAAATGGGAATCCCAGAACACTTGATTGTGCTTATGCAAAACCTATACTTGGATCAGGAAGCAGTCCTCAGAACAGAGCAAGGAGACACTGCACAGTTCAAAATCAGGAAACAGGTGCATCAGGGATGCATCCTGTCTCCATACCTTTTCAATCTATATGCAGAACAGATAATTTGGGAAGCAGGGCTTTATGAGGAGGAATGTGGCATCAGAATTGGGGGAAGACTCATCAACAACCTACGTTATGCGGATGACACAACTTTGCTTGCTGAAACTGAGAAGGACCTGAAAATCTTGCTGCAGAAGGTCAAGGACTGCAGCCTTCAATATGGATTGAAGCTCAATATCAAGAAAACAAAGATTCTCACCACTGGGCCAATTGGCAGCATCGTGATAGATGGTGAAGTGATTGAGATTGTTAACAGCTTCAGTTTGCTTGGCTCTACAATCAACACTTTTGGTACCAGCAGCCAGGAAATGAAAGTCTGCTGTCAGAGTCCTCTCCAAAGTACTGAAGAGCAACAATGTCAGTCTGGAAACTAAGGTGCGCCCGATACAGGCCATGATCTTTGCAGTCACTTGCTATGCATCAGAGAGCTGGACAATGATGAGGGATGATAGAAAGAGAATCGATGGCTTTGACCTGTGGTGCTGAAGAAGAGCATTGAATGTACTGTGGACTGGTAGGAGAACAAACAGGTTTGTCCTGGAGAGGGTGAAGCCAGGCTGCTCCTTGGAGGCAAGGATTCTGAAGCTTCATCTGACATACTTTGGACATGTTGTAAAAAGTGGGACCAGTCCTTGGAGAGGGACGTCATGCTTGGGAGGGTGGAGGGACAGCACAAGAGAGGAAGACCCTCGATGAGATGGATTGATTCAGTGACTGGGGTAATGGGGGTAGGTGTGTCAGAGACAATGAGATTGGCACAGGATAGAGCAGGGTTTAGGGCTGTTGTACATAGGTGTATGTGCTATGAGTCGCAGGCAAATCAACAGCACATAACAGCAACCACCACCACTACTAGTCATGTCTAAGGACATCAAGACAGCTGGTGTCCTCAGGTAGGCAGAGGTCTCTCTTTTTCACAGTGGAGTACATTTCTATCATTGCTGGATCTCTTGTGCTACTACATGTACTCTGTGTGTGTCTGTGTGTATCTCTGTGTGTCTGTGTGTGTTCTCAGTGTATGAAGACACAAAAATGGATCACCCTCTGGTGGGCCAAATTCACAGGCTCCACGTTAGATGCATAAGATAAGCCTGGCTCTCCTATGAAATAAATAATTCTTTTCCCACGATCTGGAAAAATGAACTCTCTTTTTCTGATGAATGGACAAGTGTGATGCCCACTCAACATCCTGTATTCACTGGGCTCTGTACAGGGCAAGGAAAACCTGCATACACCACTTTGTTGTTGTGTACCATCAAGTCAGAACCGACCCCTAGCTTGCCCCACGGTGGGTTTTCAGAGGCAGTAAATGAAGTGGGAGGAGGCGCCCCATCTTTCTCCCACAGAGCAGCTGGCGGCTTCACACCCCGTGCCTCTGAGTTGACAGTGCATCTCTACGACTGGGCCAATGGAGCCATTTAAAACATTTGTAGGGCACTTTAAGTCATGATAACAAGAATAGTGATAATGACGTTTGATGGACTCAGTAGCTGCTAGTTGGTAACAATAGTAGGATATTTTTTAATTTGAATATTGAATAATTGAAATATCAAATTGCAAGGTGTCCATTTATTTTTTTTATTATTATTCACCTCCCTTCCTGAAGCAAAGGCCACGTGACAGCAGGCTTCTCCTCACAATGGCAGGCGTGCCTAGCATGAGTATTGTGAACCAAATTACTAGCAGTGATGTCATTTACATGTGTCATGTTTCCCAAGATGAACGCCGTGTTTTCATTTGCTTTTTCACCATTCACAACAGGGTTTCCAAGCATTTAAATCAAACAGAAACAGTTCAATAGAACAGAGGGAAACTATCTGAATATATTGGTCACAACTTGCTTGCAAGCCTTTCTGACAGCAGTGCTCTGCTGAAGAGAAAATTGCACAAATTGCCAGTTATTATAATTTTTAATAAATAAACCTCCTCTCCCCTACCTTCCCTCCTCCTCCTGTCCCTCTAGCTCCTATGCAGCTGTGAACAACAGCATATTTTCAGTGGGACCATTTCTATTAGGGAGTGATTGAGCTCTGATTTACACGTCAATTACCCACCTTCATGGCGATTTCCATGATCCCCTAGCTGACATCAATGAAGCATAACTGTGTCAACACTTGATTTCAGACCAGTTTTGGATAACCAACACTGATAACCAATCACCTGGAGAAACAGTGTGTGCGCATCCCGGAAACAAGGACTGGGTTCTTTGAACTCGACTCTGTTCTTCACATGCTTCTCTCTTCCGTCTGCTTATTTCGGGAAGGATCTTCCTCCCATTTGGTATCCCAGTCACACTGTGGAGTTGACCTTCGAACACAGCATTTGCACAGATTGGATCCTCCTCGTCCAGCTGCCCAGAGGGGTTTCAAGGAACAGCCCCAGGGTGCCCAGTGGGACTAAGCTTGGCTGCATCTTCCTCTCCTGTTCACTCGGTATCCCTTGGTTAGTGTACCCTTGGACCAGCTGGTGTGCGCGTTGTGAACTCTTACACTGCTCCAGGCCCCACTGGGACATGGCTGGCAGGTTTTACTTCCCACCTAGGCCCGCTTGCGAGTGTCTCCAGGCACGTTGCCCGTCTCCTTGGCCTGTGTTAGCCTGCATGCTGAGTGCCTTTGAGTACTTTTGCTGCTGCTTCTGGACTATGGGTTTCTAGCGATCTCATATTGTGTCTTATTTTATCCTGAGTACCAAAGATGGAATCTGGTATGACGTAGGCATCCAGAAATGGTGGGTTGGTTCACTAGGTAAATGAATTCCTATATTACAGAAGAAATTTGTCAGTATTTGTCACTGAACCTAGGCAGAAAATAAAAATATGTTTACCTGTCATTTGTTCATTTATTCAGTAATCAAATCTTTCTGGAGAGCTGAACATGAAGTTTGGCACTTTTCCAGATAAATGGGAAGCAGAAAAGCCTTCTTTAATAGCAGTTTCACTTAACATCTCCCAGTCTCTCAGGCAGAGGGGGAGAACCATGAGCCGAAAAGCCAAAGGAGAGCTGTGCTGTGGAGAAGAAGGAATGATGCGTGACGTGGAAGATGTGATAGAAACTGGCGTTCCTTAGGGCCACGCTGTCTACACTCTCCATCAAGAGATGCAAAGGTTGCTGTGCGAAATGGCTTCGAGGCACAGTCGAGGGGTTTCCGTGGGCCCAGTCAGGCACTTAGGGCATCAGGGAGCAGTGTGACCCAGAACACAGCCACAGCCGTAAGTCCAAGTGAACAGACACACCAGGGGACATGGCAGTTGGCAGCGACTGGGGAAGCAGTCTGTCACAGGCTCTGTGTTGTGCCCTGATCACAGCCTCCCCCAGCTGGGCCAGGGCTCTGTAGGGGTGAGCAGACCCCCAGAGAGAGGCTGCAGTCAAGAGAGCAAGCCTTTTAGGGGGTATAATTTTCCTGGGTCAAAATTAGTGAGTACACATGGATCAAAGGGTTTGGTGAGACATGAAAACAGTCAGCTGCAAATTGTCGATTATGAGCCCCTTGTGAAGGGCATTCATTTCCTTAGTTTCAAAGTCATTAAGAATACCATTTCTGAGAAAATATTCTGTTAAATTAAGTGGTTATTGTGATTGCCTCGCTTATTGCTAACTGAAAATAAAACACCTTTTAAAAATGCCGTTTATGAGAAGCCAAAAGGTTCTATTACGACTTTGACTTGGAAAAGAATTCCTGATAGTTAATGAGCACAGAGAGGAAATCCTTCAGGCTCTTGGAGCTGGGCTGCAGAGACAGCAGGCCTGGGGATGGAGGTGTGGCACGGGAAAGAGAGACAAGGGCCGCTGGGCGAGACAGGAAGTCATTGGAAGGAGAGGGCTAAGCCAAACCTTGGGCAGCTCAGCCGAGCCCCATGTCAGGCTTCGGGGAGACAGGCCAAAGTCTGGACGGAGAGGAGAGAAGAATGCTGACTTCTGACCTGCACCGTCTGTTATTGTTGTCTTTCATTTCCAAGGAGTCTTCTTCAGCACGTGACCACTGCAAGCGCCGCAGAAGGGAACACAGCCCAGCCTTGCTCCCTCTTGAGGTGTTTGCATGCCTTTCTGTGGCTGTTGTGCCAAACCATATCATTGAGTGTTTCCTTCCTTGTCGCTGGCCTTCTACCCACCATGATGTCCTTTTACTAGCAATTGACATTTCCTGAAGTCATAGATGAGCCTGAGTTTCAGCTTCTAAGAACCAGAAGCATAGATTCCACCAATTTAAACCGACCACGAATGAGAACTCAAACAAACCACAAAGTCCTTTTGAGCCCGCATGAGTGCTAGAAGGTTGTCACCACACTTACATTTCTTTAAAGTGGGTGGAGATTTAGAACTAGCAGCTTTTTTAGACACAGCGTCAGTGTTGACTCTGATAAATTTAAAGAGAGAATAAGGAATAAGCTCAGGGTGACACATTAGAATACATGACGAAAGGACGAATAAACGAGAAAGTCATCCAAATAGCCTGATACTGATGAGAGGGAGTAGAGTATATTCATTTTTTTTTTGGTATACTCTGAGTTCTGTTTTTTAAAAATTAATGTTAAGAAACGTTTACAGAGACTTTGGATTTTCATTCGTTCATTGTTGCATTTTTCTCCCTGTCCACCCCTCCCACCCCAGTTCGCCCTTCTCTTTGAAAAGTAAAAGAAAAATTCTTTCCTTGGTGTACAATCCCCACCCCCACCCCCCGAGTCCACTCCACTACGCAGCCTTCATTCTGGACTCTTGTCATGACCATAATATCCAGTCATATATTGCTTTTCAAAAGTTCTCTCCCTCATCTGTTTTGGCATACTCTTGGTTTTTGAACTTCAGCGTCCCATGTACAGGAATGCAGTGTACAGACATGAACTATGCTCACCATCCGACTGCATGTAATCTTGCTTCATGGTGCCCACCCAAGGCTCTGACTAGGCCTCTGAAAGCTGCTCCCCCAGTTAGCTGTGTCCAGTACTTCCGGTCTGGCAGTATTGAATGTGAGGTGCTTGTCATGTGCTGGATTGTGTTACCGACAGACTAAGGAGTCATATGGAGTGACAGTGAAGTCTCATTTGTAATGACTGGGCCAGAACGAAAGTTAATTTTTTTTTGAGATTTTCTATAAAAATGGAAATCAGACATTTAACCTAAGAAAATGTTACGAGAGCTGAAAAGAAGCCCAAGGACGCTTAGAATGCTGCTGTGCAGGAGCGTGGGGTCTGCGGGGGGTGGGGAGGCTGCCTGGCGTGGCGCCAGAGGAGGTGAAGGGCCACCGCACGGGTGTGAAGGTAGCCCTCCCGCATTCTGAGCTGTGTGGAGAGGAGAGAGGTTGCCTTCACTGGAGACGCAGACACCCCTCTCAGGAATGTCTCTCAGCCAACAGAGGCATCCTGCGGGAGGACAGAGGATGTTGTGTCCCTGGAGAGGATGCTTTTAAAGCAGGTTTCCTCAGGCTTCTAGGCAGTTGTTGCTATGCTGAGAGCTCCTGCAGGCAGTGGAGACCTTTGGTTTGCCAGTCAGGCTCATTCTGTGTAAAAGTCATGTTTCCATTAAGATTGGCTTCTTCAAGACGTGGAACTTTTGATATTGCATTCTTAGGAGATCATTGATGATCAAGAATCGTTGAGCGTTTACTTGCACTTGCCGTCCTAAGGAGAATGTTCTACCATATTCCAAGAACCCTTTGGAAGTCAAGATATTCTGCAGGGAGTTCAGAGCTGAGCCATCCCCCTGGACCCATCAAGGCATGCCTCGTGTGAGAGTGGAGCTGAAGTGTGTAGCTGTGTCCCTGTGGAGGCTCCCCTTCTGCGTGCGGTGTGGACTTACTGTTAGGTGTTGTCCACATGAGTGCCGCTCAACTCATAGCAGCCCATGAACCCCACTGCCCTGCCCGTGCCGCCGTCATCTTTGCCCAGAGAGCAGTCTCT